AAGAATGAGTGAAACTTAATGAAAACCTGGTTTCTATTTACAAGTTTCATAGCTCAGTCATAGCTCAGCCTGATTTACAATCTGAAAATGTATAATTCTGGAAAATGCTGGAATAATTAGTGAAACATAATTTGACCAGTGATTTTATTTTCTACGGAAACTGTAGTGAACAATAACACGAGTGGGAAAATCGAGTGTATTCGACACGAAATAACAGAGCATGTCAATCAAATCTGAGAACCATATAGTAAATAGTTAATTTGCAAAATATTAATCCATCGTCTCAAACTTCACTGTTTCTTTTGTGAATATCAGTTCATTGTCTCATACTTCATTGTTCATACATTTTCATACCACATACGTTTCGTTTCCGTTCTTTCCTTATCGATCTTCTGCTGAAATACATTCTATGCCTAACCACCGTTATACACTACTTATATGGATATAAGTAACTCACATCACAAAACTAACAAAGATCAAATAACAGCTAATTAAAGTTGATTGTATAGAATATCGAATTTTAGCTACATGATTTAATGTTATTCTGCTAACCATAGAAACTGACATTTGTTAACTTGATTCCATATGATTACATCTATGTATTTTATTATGAAATGTTCCAGTCTAAGATAAAAGAAGAACACTATTCAATGATTTGTAATTTTTCATTAGTTCTCCAATTTAATGTCAGTCTCGTTTTGATCATTGTTTTTATATTATGAGATTTCAATACTAAAACTTCTTCTTCTTTATGTGAATAAGAGAAAAAAAGAGTAAAAATAAAAGGTTAAGACACAATTCATATGAATGAAGAATATTCTTTTCAATGAATTTCTCATCACGTTCTACAATTATCTCATATCCATATTAATAATCCATAAGATTGACCAGATTGAAGGCAGAGTACATCATTTGGAAATTGTAATATGTGAATCAAGCTTTGTTGTTTGTCATATATCAGATCAAATCAAATCGTTCATGTTGGAGCTGATTAATATAAAGTTTTTGGTTGAGATCATGAACCGACTGATGTTAGACCACCATTGACGAAACGGCCGTTTTGTGTTTCCAGGTTTTCAATGGTGGTCTAACATCAATCGGTTCATGATCTCAATCAAAAACTTCACAATCTCCACAACCGCTATACTGATAATATGAAGTTGTTGACTTGAATCAGATTATAAATGAAACGAAATTGTGGGATCAATAATCATCAAAATAAATATGGTCAACATGGAGTGAGAGAGAGAGAGAGAGAATAATGGAAGAAAAATCAGAATGGATGCTGAATAAATTTCTCAAAAAGGTTATCAAATGAAATAATATCTATCTATACCTATCTACTATATCTGACCTAATTCATATTATTCTACATATTACGTAATTTCTGATTTGTAATTATATTATTCTTTCTCACTTCAGATTGACCATATTTATTCTGATCATTATTGATCCCACAATTTTATTTCACTTATAAACTAATTCAAGTCAACAACAATAGGACGAGACGGCTGTCCAGTGCTTCAAGGTTTTCCATGATGGACTCATGATCTCAACCATTGAAACTTCATATTAGTCAGCTCCAACATCAACGATTTGATTTGATTTGATTTGATATATGACAAACAACAATCCACGATTTGCATATTACAATTTCCAAATGATGTACTCTGCCTTCAATCTGGTCAATCTTATGGATTAATAATATGGATATGAGATAATTGTAGAAGCTGATGAGAAATTCATTAAAAAGAATATTCTTCATTCATATAAATTGTGTTTTAAAAAAGTTGAAAGGATTTCTTTTTTTCTTTTCTTTTCTTTTTTGTTTTTGTTTTACCTGGATATATGATTTACCTTTGTTTAGCCATATCTCTTTCCCATAATTTTCTCAATTTTATAAATTTCCATGATTTAGCCATTCGTCCAAAACGTTTACGATGATGATTTCGTCGAATACGTTTTTTCAATTTTGATTTTTCTTTAAGTGGATATGAATTCGTTTGATCTGAATCAGAATTATCTGTTGAATAACCTGAATAAGCCATAATGATCAATACTACTACTAATAATAATAATGATAGTAATTAATAATGAACAATATTGCTTTGAAGTAAATGAAGTATCCTGAATTAATGTTTAGTAAATGTTCCACGTCAAGATACAATTACTTTTGAAATGTTTCCGTCAATTAGATTAATTGATTATTAGTATTAGTATAGCTAAAATCATTCAGATCTTCATCATTATCATTATCATCATCATCATAACCATAATGATAATAGTGGTGACAAGTTTTATGATTATTATTATTAATAAACCAATTATGAACTTGACAATAGTAATAACTGGATAATTTAATGAATATTGATTGGTCAACATGAATGTGTATGTGTGTATTACAATATCATCTGGATTAGATCAAGTTGACCAGTAAAGATATTTATATTTCAATGAATTAGAATAACGATTAATGAGAGTCAATTACTTACTAACTAAAATATTTGTTTATTAGTAATCTGTAATATAAACAATATCACTGTTAGCCATTATCCAGCTTTGCTTATAATACTTCTAAATTAAGGCAATATCGAGGCAATACGCACAATATGCACATATGCCAATAAGAGACTGATCAATTACAGTCCTAAAACATCAATAGGAAGATTCAAGTAAAACAATACCAAGTGAATTAAACTTCATCCCTTTGCACAAGTAAGCGGCTATCAGAATTCAGTAGCTAAGCGGATAACGCGATGGCGTTTGAAGCGAACGGGACTGAGTTCAAGTCCCAGAGTGTATATCAACCCTGAGATGCAGGTACATCTAGCTGACGAGTCCTAAACAGGATGGAACGGGCGTCCTAGATTCCACTGCTAGCCACTATCCATCTTTGCTTATAAAATCATAAATATTTTAGCATTTATAACTATGCTAATTTTAGGTCACTAAATGTTGTATTGAGAGCTTTTTAAAATTCTTTGAAGATATCTATAGATACTAGGAGAAAGCTAAAAACTATTTTGCCCAAAACAACGAACAGTGGAAACTTGTCTGAAACATTCAGAAATATTCAGGATTGTATCACATTCTCATTAGGTGACTATTAATTTATTTTATTGAAATCATTGTATTTCTTGAAGCTTTCATAATGTTAAGACCATCCCTATATTAACAAATACTCATGCTTTATGTGCATAAATTAAACTTAAAATGAATCAAGGTTTTCCAACTTCCCTAGGTGGACTCTCTGTGTTCACCGATCCGGTTAAAGCGCCGGACATTCGCTTTTCAATTTGGTAAACAACATCCCCGCCACGAGAAGTCAGTGAGTAGGACTTCGCTGGCAGATGCTATATACATGTGGCCATGTGAGAGCATTGAGAGGAGGAGAGTGGACTCTCCCTACTCTCGGCAGTACCGGGGCATTTGTTAAACTTCAATTGAAGTGTTTTATATTTCCTACTTCCTCTCTGCCGTTTGGGGTTCGTTTGTAGGAATAAACTGACAAACTAGCAGTCAGTTAGGAAGTTATTATCAGTTGTTTCAGTACCAAATATGTTATTCTCCGTGTTGGGATATTCAGAAAAATATCCTAAAAATTATCCTGTTAAGTCTAATGCTATCCTTGGACTTAAAATGGTATCATTTTCCTATTGGTCAATATTTACTTCACGTGTCGTTTCCCTACTGGTCAATATTTATTTCACGTGTCATTTTCCTGTTGGCCAAGTATTGTACAAATGTTATTTTCTATTTTATGGTACGCTGTGGTCTGCTTGATTGGTATATAAACAGAGTATGTTTGAAATATAACGATTCGTATCTCAGAGGCTGAGACTTGTGTTCTGGACTCAAATGGCTGGGCTAGACAGGGAAGCAGGGCCAATCGGGACTCTAGGTCGTTCTTACGTGTTTTACGCGTCTTTGGTTCGATCGATAATTCGCTGCGCTCTAATCTGCAGTCACAGTTATAACACTCCGTCATTTATTTTCCAATTGTGCAGTTGCTAAAATAAACGTAACTGATTTTGATTTAGTTTACTTATTAATTTTATATGTTAACCGCATATACTGATGTGGTTTTTTTAAAAGATGTAGTTCAGTCTTATATGATATCAGAGAGTTACCTGCAGATGGTATTAGAAGATAATCATATAAATTTGAATTTATCTAAATTAAACAGC